CTCTTCCCCCTCGCCAGCCTCCTCCCAAGGCCTTCGCCGATGCTCGTGTCTGCTGCTGCTGTTTCAGGATGGGCCGTGGCTCTGCACAAACGTACTTTTACTTTAAAAAGCAAAACTATGGCTCATCAACTGAAGTTTTATTAGGAGCAGAAGTAGAAAAGGGAAGAACAACTTTCATACTGCCTTTCCTCCAGTTTAGCAAAGGCAGTTGAAAAAGAAAGCCCTCGTATTAAACTAGCACAACCCTGCAGACAGGCAGCTAGCTGCGTAAACATCACTTTTATAGTGGGATGGACAACACTTAAAATACTCCGAAAGTCTGGCAAGCCTCCGTCAGGAACAAGCCTTTGTTCCAGACACTTCCAGATGACCTCCAAAAGTTGCTGGGTGGTTTTTTTCTTTCCTTTCTCTTCATAAAATAGTCCTTAAAAATTGTCTGTGCGGTGGACGCAGCATGGTTTCCTCTACTGTTATAAACCAGATTTGGAAAAAATATTAAGGAACGCTTGTAAATGTGCTTTTTGTCCCCTTCTGAACTTCTGCTGCAGAGCCGCCTCCTGCCCTGCGCTCGGCAGCTGCAGCGGGATGCCAGGTGCACGTTCCCCCTTCCACATTTCTCAAACTTGCACAAGAAATCGTTTCTGCGAGGCCAGCGTGGAGCTGACAATGCTTTAAAATAATACTCAGAAAAAAATCCACATGCACGGTTTTTACTTTAAAACTAGAGCACTGCCAGAGCAGCTCGCATTAATTAACAGAGGAGATGAAAGCCTCTGGTAAGCAGGTAAAAAGGGGTGTAATCACCACGCGAGCGGCTTCGCCGCAGGCCCACAGGAGCAGCACCAGCACCCACCTTCTCGGGGTGTGTTTCTAAACATGGAACAAAGGGGGAAAAGATGAAGTTGAGGCAATGATGGGACGCTGGAAGACACACGAGCAACGGACAGAGCACTCGGACACCCGTATTTCCCCGTAATGTTCATGGGAATACGGGGAAGAGCTGCAAGCCCAGGGAACAGGAGGTTTCAGTAACCTTTTTTGCCCGGCCCATCTAAACTCCTGAAGTGCTCCAGCTGCCTTCCGAAGGGGTCCTCAGAGCCCTCCTCTAGCTGGTCTCTCGGCACCAAAGCAGGAGTCACATCACAGCCGCTCTCCTCAGCGCTGCCCGCTGGTTATCCCTCCTCCTCCGATCCCCCCCAGCAGCACTCAGCAGCAGCCGCCTTGTCCTCGATCCCACACGCACCTTGTAGAAATTTATATTCCCTGAATTACAATTTCAACCCTTGACATCCATATCCAAGAATTCCTCCGCATGCTGTTTAGTTTCATCACAGGCCAAACCACACGCGGATTACTCCAAGGAGCCGACCCGAGGCCTCCTTGCTTTCCCAGATCCCCTCCTACAAAGCACTTGTTCAAACCTTAGGAAAAGGAGGAATGTGCCTAAGTGGACTCAGACTAGAAATGCAGATTTAGAAGAGCTCACACGGATCTCTCGGATCTCTCGGAGGCTGAAGTTCAACACAGCCGTGAAGAACCTCCTCCGCTCCACACTTTTCGCAGCGGCCTCCCCGCACGGGTGGGTGTGGAGCTGGGTGAAGGGTCTCATGTAGGTCCCACCTCGCGCAGAGGCTTCTGGCCAGCTGCTAACTGCTCCTTGGGCCCGGACACGCGTTGGGAGGTTCCCGTTGAGCGAACGGGAGCCAAGGAAAATCCTCCCCAATGCAAGTGATTGTCCTACCAAGTTCCAATACCCTCCTCTCCCCTCCACCAGCAAACTCACAACACCACCAAATCTCAAAACCCTGCTGGTTACAGGTGGATTTTAGGAAAAGCTCACTAGAATAAAATCCCTACCTGCTTTATTTCACAACTGACATACATCATCCAGGCTTCTAAACTCAGCAGTCACACAACTTAAAATGCAGGTACTTGACACACAAGTTAAAGCCCTGAGCCGTAGAAATACATTCCTTATCCAAAAAGGCACAACTCTCAGAAATCATTAGACATAACAGACTCTCTGCCTGCGTTTGGTATCACCTTTCAATCCTTTGCAGCTTTAAGACAGCTGTTTATCAATGCAGAGAGAGATGCAGATGAAAAGTAACTCTCAAAGCTTTAATTAAGAAATGTGACAAGTGCAGGATGACAAACTTATCAATAAAGCAGCTATCACGTGCAGCTTGGCAGACAGTGTGCTTATAGTGACCTACATTTGGGAAATCCACACTTTTCAAGATTCTTAGGTATGTTCTTAACATTTTTAAAAATAAGAATGGCAGATTTTTAAAATACACGTGCAAACATCTTCCGCATATATTAACACAAAAGACTCGCACCACATCTCTCTGGAAAAATAAGCATTTTAACATTAAAAGCCTCCCAGGAGGTGGTATTCCTGCTCTGGAGCCATTAATGAAGATATTACGGCACTCCACGGTCGTAGCCTTTGTTTCCAATCAGGAGTGCTCCTGATTAGGATAAAAGGTGCCCGTTTCCATTTGCAGGTCCACAAAAACAGCAGGGTCTTTCGATCGGCTCTCGAAACAGAAACCCTAAGGGCCTACATTAAACCTCAACTCAAACCTCCGTATTTCCATTTCCTTCAAGCACAATTTTCTGTTACGACTGCAAATTCCTATTGAACATAAACAAAACTAATCAAATGCCCAATCTGAGGTACAGAAGCTTTATCGATACGATGTCAGAAAGTGAAACAAAAACTGTAAAACAAGATTCATTGTCATTTCCTAAATCAAAAGTCTGGACAGTCTGATAAATACAAGCGAGGATGCCTTCGCCTGGTAAATGAAGTGGCTGCAAGGAAAAATAACCCTTGCTTTTAAGTTGCTCTCAGAACAAAGTTACAGTTTGCAGTCAAACAAAAAGAAATGTGCTCTAAGGGACAACAATGGGACATTTGCAGAAAGAAGCAGCCTGACAAAGTACTAACAAAGGCAAAAACAAGCTTTAATTGTGAAATCCACGTCTCCCCCCCATCCAGTATCAGAGAGGTTTTTTTGTTTTCCTTTCGCATAACCTGGGCAAGCTGCCCAGGAAATATGAAAACCTGAACTCAGGACTCAGACAGCAAATTAAACAGAAAACAGAGTAGTCCCTTAATTTTAAAGGTGCGTTTCCATTCACCGGGTACTATTCTACAGGCCTCTGCTCAAAAATCACTGCCAAAACTTGTAGCCCCAAGTAAATGACACTACCTTAATACTCCATATTTCAACACACTGCATGAAAGCTTTCACTTTTAGCGATTATCACTGAACTATCACTAAAAACTATCACTAAAAGTCTTTCAGAACACCTCATGTTAATCGTCCATGTCCTCAAAAGGAAATGACAGAGCAGAGAATCCAGGGTCCCCCCTCACTGGATCCTGGCCCAGCCCAAATACCTTATTTTGAATGGAGTTTGTAGCACAGATCTCCAGGACACACATGTTCAGCTAACTGCAGATCTCAGCTTTTATGTTTGCTTCTCCAGATTTCACAGGAAAGACGACAACCCACAGAGGCTGCCAGGGCAGAGCTAAACCCAAAGAGGAGCCGGGCTACGGAGCAGAGGTGCTCGGTTATTATGGGATGCTGTCCAAGCTCTTTCTCGTGGGCCTGTGTGACGACACGG